ACCGAAGGAGAGAGCTGACTCCATAAATGCTTATTTCTACATGTGTGCTCTAAGCATGTTGAGTACACACACACACACACACACACACTGATAATAAATAAAACAAAAGTTGCAAAGTTGTTTTTTTTTTGTTTGTTTTTTGAGACAAGGAAAATATTTTTTTAAAGGTGAGTTGGGCCAGAGGCTAAGAGAACTGACTGTTTCTCTAGAGGAACAGGGTTCAATTCCCACAACCTATATGACAGCTCACGACCATCTGTAACTCCAGTCCTAGGCGATCTGATCCCTTCTTCTGGCCTCTATGGTCACCAGGCACACACTGGAGCAGAGACTTACATACAGGCAAAACAGTCATATACACAAAATAAAATTAAAACAACTAAAAATAAATAAAAAATAAAATTCCTGATGGAGCCAAGACTTCCCAATCTCAATACAGCAAAGGAGAAATCCAGAGTACTGCACACTAAGTGACTTACCATGGCCACAAAGCTGCTGAGACATAGTCTAATATTCATTCTGTAGTTTGTTACAGTGTCTCCCAATATGGCAGCTGTGGCTTGCTAATGTAACCGCCTTCCCATGGTCTGTTTTCCCCTTCAACCCCTGCAGCCTCTTCCATAAGCCACTGCAGCTCCCACCTCTGCCTTCTGTACCAAGTGCAAATCTAAGATGTTCATAGTTACTCTGCCAAACATTGACTCATTTAATATTATTATTATTATTATCATTATTATTATTATTACAGATTTCTGTGTTGGCCCAGCTAGCTCAAGCCACCTTCTTGCCTTGGCCTCCTGAGTGCTCGCACTGCAGGCATGTACCATCACTCACAGCTTAGAGAGAAAGAAAATAATTCTTCCTCAAATCTAGACTGCTACCCGTGTAAGTAAAAATGACATTTGTTTATAGCAGAAAGGTGGTATATAACTAACAGACACACAGAATTTGTCGGGAAACAGCTCTCCTCGCCTTCTTCTCAAATGTCACAGTGAATATCCGAAATTAAAGTATACTGTGGGGGCTGGAGTTAAAGGTTTATTGAAACAGTTTGGATGGGAAATCGGTCCTGGTGAGGATTTACTCTCTGCCTCTTCAAGATTCAGAGTGGTCACTGTCAGCAGAACCAGAGGCAGGGCAGCCAGAAAAACACTGTACGTCTGTCTGTCTGACCATCTGAACCTGTGTTTATCTCATCTACACAGAAGAAAACTTCCCCATGGACTCCTGCCCTAGAATAGCTGGGGGACGATACTCTCCAAAGGGTAATGACCTGTGCAAGGCAGAGTTACACAGACCTGCACTCCCCAGTATCTTTATCCACAGGAATCTGCAGGGAACTGGCCTCATTTTAGGCCTATCTGGATCTGGATGCACTAGGGGTGCAGTGGAAGAATCAGAAGTCTACGAAGGGCCTCTCTCTTCACTCTGTTAATATGCGCTAGAACCCAGTGTGTATCCTGCGAGCCTGTCTCTCATGCCTGCTCAAGGAGGGATGCAGAAGCCCCACATCTTTGGAATAGTATCTGTTAAGCCCCAGGAGGTGCTTTTATGGATGCTGCTTATATTGACCTCAAGACCACTCTCTGAGGTAGGAATGGTGACTATGAATGGATAGACTGAGGCTCAGAAGACCTTACCCCATGTCAGGTCACAAGAACTACAGGACAGAGCCTGAATTTCATCCCAGGTTGGTGCCCTCTGAAGGGACAAGAGGAAAAGAAAGGGGCCTGCCACCACTGAGAAGCAGGTTATGGAAGAACAACGGATCCTGTAGCTGGTTGGTAGGCCACAGCCACTGGCAAATGTTGCCAGGTGTTGGAATACTGTCTCTATAAGGCATCATAGGCTGCTGAAACTACTCTCATCTTCTGGTCCTAGCCATGCAGTAACTCTGAGAAGAGGATTTGGGAAGGAAAAGTTGACACTGAAATGGCTTTGGAAAGGAAGTGCTTTAGGGTTCCAGAGGAACATGCAGAAGGCTGGGTTCCTGGCAGAGGAAGAATGTCTCAGGAAGAAGGGCCAGATGGGGTTTGTGGGAGAGCCGTGGGCCCAATTAAGAAGACTGTATCATCAGCTCTTGATTTTTTGCTAATTTAGTTGGTCAACAAGCATCCCTGGGGAAGGGTTTGATGAATCAGAGATACTCTGGCATTATCTTCTGGGTGCTCTCCAATCCAGTCAAAGTAATGCAGGTAGAAAGAACAGGCACATGTTGGGGCAGATCAGGTAGGAGTAACAGATGTCCTGGACAGAGTGGGCAGGAAGCTCAGGACTAAAGGCCTACAATGGATGAGGCAAGGGGAGATCATTTAGGCCAAAGGAAAAGGAGATAGGATGTAAAGGGTCTCCTGGACACCCAGGGGACAACAGACCACTCAGGAGAGCGGTGCAAAGGGTGAAAGTTGGTTTAGAGACAGGCAACATTTTGCTCTGTGCATCTAGGGCCACTCCAGGGGATATCCAGGCAGGAAATGCAGTCTCAGACCCTCTGGCAAGGCTCAGCTGAGTGGATGAGACTAGCCTATGAAAATTCTGGGCCAGTGAGCTGTTGCTTCTGCAGTGGGAGAGAAACGGGAAGGTTCTGAGAACAGAGAGGGTTGAGAGAAACCAAGTGGTACTCATATGGCTACTGATGGCATTAAATAATAGTGAGTGGATGAAGTGAAGAAACAGGACAGCTGAGACCTCCTTTGATGGCTAGTGTTGGCAGCTAAGTTAAGTACATTGAGCCTCTGGCTCGGATAGTAGGCTCAGGGAGATGGGCTCCATGTGTACACATGAGGGGTAGTTGTTGGCTTTGGGATCTTACGTAATGACAGTAAGGTAGATGTGTCCAACCAGAGAGTAAGCAGTTGGCCTGGAGGTTCACAAGATGGAAGGTTTATAAGGCTATCTGAGGGCATCCCGCGACTAGCCACACTCAGAAATCAGTTCTATGGGGAGGGAGCCATCTACCTCTAAGGGCACAGTATCAAGCACATACAGAGAACAAGGGAGTTGTAAGAGGGAGGTCTGTGTCACCCCAAATCTCTTCTTGTCAGCCTCCTGACAGTCATGGGCTTTATTGCTACTCAGAGCAAATCCACTGTCTCTGGTCCAGTGAGACAACAGGACACCAGGGCTTAGCCATTCTCAACACTCAGAACCACTCAGGAGATAGGCCTTTGTGATGATGTGGAAACTGGAACCTTACAGTCCTATTCAAAGTCTGTGCTTTAAGTGACTGTTGGGACAGGAAGGAAGATTAGTCACATTATTCATGTAGATATAAAATATAGCCCTCCCCAAGAAAAAAATCATCTGATGGAAGGCAAGGAATATTGGTTCCCCCAAGTCTCAATAGAGAACCTACCAAAAGCACCCTCAGGAGAAGTGAACAATGACAGAGGTCAGTGACCCTGCAGGCTGCAAGCTTTCTGAGTGCAGGTGATGAGATGCTTCAGGTGACTTCCTGAACACAGAGATTGCATAGACTCAGTGCAGCACAGGAAGGGCATGGGACTCTAGGGCATGCCAGCCGAGAGACCCACTTTCCTACAGGCATGAACGACAGAGGGAGAACAAACAGGATGCCCTGGAAAGTTTATCTTACAGCAAAAGAGGGGCAAAGTCATTCACCTGGAATGACTGATTCGGAAGAAGTGGTGATTGGGAGAACAAAGGGTGCAGGTCAACTGAGAATCTGTAACAGGAGAGGAAGCAGGCACTTTGCACTTTGAAAGAACAGGTTTTCAACTATTGATGAATGACAAAGTAGGTGGCCAAGGCCAGAGATGCTGAAGGGATGGGCAGGCCTCCTGGGACTCTCAAACACATGGAAACAGGGTGATGAGTTACACTAAGAAGAAAAGGTTGGGAAACAAAGGAAACACACTGGGTCACAAGGAGACCTCAGATGACAGGAGAGGGCGACTGCAGCTTGGAGCTGGAGGGGCGGGTCCTGGAAGAGCGGAAGGATGGCATCGAGGTTTCTGGGATCACAGAAAAGATCTTTTTTTTCCTGAGCTGGAACAAGCAGATGGAGGGAAGAAGGAGCTGCCACCAGAGCTGATCATCTGTCACCTCTCATTCCTTCAGGGGCTCCCTGTTCTGAGGAGAAGAATGGCGGTCTATCTGCAAAGGCGAGAGCCAACTTTCAAACAGCAAGAAGCCTGACACCAGCGAGCCAGTGTAGGTGCTGAGTCACTGGGCAGATTCAGGTGTTAGCTCTGAGGAATGACATCATAAACACAAAGACCTCAGGGGACAGCATAGTGTCAGCTCCACAAACTGCTCCTGAGGAAACGTGGAGTCTGGGTACACAAAGTACCAAAATATAAAGCGAAATAAAGGCAGGCAGAACACAGACTATCTGCTCTCAATAACAGCAGAATTGGAGGCTGCCAGGTATGGAGGCAGATTCTTGATCTCGGGAGTCAAGTGACTCACTGTGTCACCAAAGACTCCACCTGGGTCTAGGACCAACCGACCACTGGAGTGTTCTATCCCTAACATTTCCTCACTTTTCTCACAAAACATAATAGAAAATGAGATGAGTATTGCTGGCCTCAGCTATAGGGCTTGTGAGAGAAGAACACTTGGACTTTAATATCAGTGTTTCATATTTGTTTTGTTTGTTTGTTTTGAGATAATGTCTCAATGTAGCCAAGGTTGGCCTTGAACTCATGATCCTTGTCTGTCTGCCTCTTGAGTGTTGGATTACAGGTGTTTGCCACAATGCTTGGCTTTAACACTTTTTGAAAATTTTACACATACTTCTGCTTTTGGCAAATGATACCGGATTTATATTTAAGAAACATATTTGAAAGATTATTAAAGCAAAAACAAAGTTTGCTTAATAGAAAGTAAAACCTCAAAACAAATACAGTGCAATTCTGGTAATACTCATTAAGGTAAATACAGATGGATGTTATTGCTACTGCTGGCTAACATGTGTATATCATTAACTGTGATCACTTAGTATGACAGCACATGTGTTCCCTCCTAGCACATGGGAGGGCTGAGACAGGAGGAATACCACCAGCTTGCTACATAGAGTAAAAATCTATTCCCCCCAAACAAAACAAAAACCACAAAAATAACAATAACAAAAAAAATGACCATGCACCAAGCACTCTTTGGAGAGACTTCCTATAGCAACGAGCTCAGTTCCCCCATAGCCCCACAAAAATGGACGATAGTTTGCATGATTCCTTAATCACACAGGTGGGAATCGATAACAGGAATTAACCCTGTCTGGCTTGGGGGTCTGCTTTCTTACCCACTGTGTCCCATAACCAGATAGATGCAGCCACTTTAGGAAAACAGAGGGGCAGCAGCACTGTGAGCTAGCTGGGAATCTCTAAGTTCAAAAAAACAGCAAGTAACTCCATCTCTATCAAAACAAAAGCAGACAAGAATGAGGATCTCAGACAGCAATGAGATGACCTGGACAGCACGGTGATTTCACAGTTTCTCACAGTAATGGAGCAGGCAAGATGGAAAGGGCAGGTAGGGAAGAGTTGCCAGGATTAGCAACTACTCTCAAAGTGTGTCCTTCCTGCCTCTGAGGAACAGAAGAGGTGGCTACAGGTGTGCCCGACCACACCCATCAGGGCGTGGTCAGGGTGATGTCAGGTTGATGGGGGGGGCTTTAAAGGGACAGACAAGGCACATGGCTCACTCTCTCTTGCCTCTCTGGCTTGCTGTTGGCTGCTGTTTATCTATTAAAAGACATCCTAATCCCACGGATTTCATATCAGTTATTTTTCTCAATACTGGGGGACTTCACACTTTTTCATTCTGATTTATGGGATGAGAGAGATTCTAACCAATCCATAAAGCAGCCGAAGGAGCTAAGTCCACACGATGATGATGACATCTGAGGAATATTGGAAGCACATAGTTCTCTGATCTCTTTATATACACTGCCCAGTCTTCTCCAGTCCCCGCAAGGTGGTGGGTACTATTACTGTCTCCACTGCACACTGAGGTCAGACAGGCTAATAACTTAATCAGGAGGAGCCCAGTCTGGCCTAGTGCTGGATAAAGATGTCAAGAGTCAAGGGCGTGCAAATCAGAGGGAAAAGACTGCCTTTGCAGACTACAATCTTACTGTGTGAGGTGAGACGTGGATCCCAAATGAGCAGAGCCACAGGGAGCACAGGGTCCTGCAGCAGGTGGGGTGGGGGAAAGTGCTGCTTTCTAGCTTGTCTTTTTAAAATTTATTTTTTAGAAAATCAAATTTATTTTTTTAGATTTACTGTCTTCTGTATATGAGTGCTTGGCCTGCATATATATCTGTACTTGTTTCATGGAGATCAGAAGAGGGTGTTGGATCCCCTGGAAATGGAGTTACATATGGCGATGAACTGTCTTGTGAGTGCTGGGAATTGAACCCAGGTCCTCAGGAAGAGTAGACAGTGCTCTTTTATGTGCATTGGTGTTTTGCCTGTCTAAGGGTGTCCAGTCCCCTGGAGTTGCAGACAGTTGTAAGCTGCCATGTGGGTGCTGGGAACTGAACCTGGGTCCTCTGGAAGAACAGTCAGTGTTCTTAACCATTGAGCCACCTCTCTAGCTCCCTTCTAGCTTGTTTTAATAGATCCACATGAGGAAGTGGGCAAGAGGAGGCTGAGTTTCTCATCCCTGCAGGTGTCCACTTGGAGATTTACAGGTCACTAGGAGACTCTTTCCAGCCCTGAGACTCATGTTCCACACAGCACAGTCTACACATTTGAACTGCAAATCAAGTCACTTACCCGCCCTCGCTCTGTGAGAGTTGTCAGCATAACAACAAGAGACAACTTCTGATCCCAGATAACTTGCCAAAACTGTGAGCAGGTGTGTGGCAGGGGTCCCTGAGCAGCAATGTACTTGTTCACAAGGTTAGCTGCTGGAATCTCCATCTGTTGTGAGATTAAGGCATTAGATTGTCAGCTGACACAAAGTAAGCAGGAGTCTCCATTTTACACTTTTCCAATAGCTAGCTGAATCATACCAGAAAAAGATCTTATCCACTCACAGCCAGAAACAAAATTTGCAGCACAAAGCCATCTCCAGATTTGACAATAATGTGAAGGGAATAGTGGAACTGCTGATTAAACCCATTCTTACAGGGGTAATTCCACAAGGTCACCCTGTAGCCAAAGATGGCCCCAAGGGCCAATAGCCAATATTGCCACCTGGTTACTTAAAAGTGGTTTTCAAGGTGGTCCACTACAGAAAAAAAGTTTCTCTCTAAAGGGAGAAATCTACATTCAGGTAAGTTGCCTGTGATGAGTGTGTCCCCATGACAGGAAAACCTTTTCCTTTTTTCTCTTTTGGAATATATATATACATGGAGGAAGACTTTTTCTTTTACTTGTAGGCAGGGTGAGACTAATAACACTCAGGCAAACACAGAAAGTTAAACATACCATTAGCAGAAATAAACATAGACATGGCAATGGCCTGGTACCTCAGCAGGTGGATGGATGATGGAATTAGAATGTGTTTGGTACCATCTCTCAAAGTTTTGTGGCTTTTCAAGTTATTTGGTGAACCTTACTTTGCTCCCCTGTAAAGTGAGACCATTCATTTTCTCACAAAGCCACTGCACTAGAATGATGAGTGAATGGGAGCAGGCTTTGTCATGAGCAAAGTCCCCCATGCTGTTCCCACTCTCATGACTAGGATCAATGTGTTCTTTTTATATCCCCCAGATTCCCAGCTTACATCCACATAACTCGCGTTAATATAATCTTCATTTCCCTGCAATAATACCCGGGTGGTGTCATCTGCCGGAGAAAGAAAAATTTACCCATTATTCCCAGTGTTATTTTTATCATTCCAAGTAAACAAGGGTTCAGTTCCCGGCCCCACCTGCAGCCTCGCCTCATTAGCATAAACACTATTTCCCAACTGTTCTCAGTCTGAGATGGCTGCAATAAAGACAGTGGTGTTTACAGACACACTGAAAACAGTCCAGAATCCCAGACAATCTGTTTTAAAAGGGAAGCATTATCTATCTCATGCAGGGGGAAGGAGGCATTGGGCTGGATACTCACAAGGCAAAACATCTTTGTATCGGTTTTTATCCAAATTCTGAGGCAGCTTTGCAAACGTGACAGCTAAGCCCGGCTTCTTTCTGTAGAGTTGCTATCAAACAAATAGAGAAATTAAAACAACAACGTCAAGCCCCACAGAACCCCATTGCGATGAAAACAAAAACAAAAACAAAAACAAAAACAAAAAACCAAAGGAAAGCATATCCTAATGGCAAAGGATTTCATTTGAGAACTCTCCAATCTTGTTTTTTGAGACAGGGTTTCTCTGTGCAACCCTGGCTGTCCTAGAACTTGGCTCTGTAGAACTTGCTGGCCTGGAACTCAAAGATCCACCTGCCTCTGCTTCCGGAGGGCTGGGATTAAAGTGCCACTATTGCCTGACAAGAACTCCCAATCTTAACATTTCAAAGTGAACCTAAGCTACACAGCAAAAGAAAACCTCAGTAAGAAATCCTATCTTGGTAGAACAAACCAACTAAAATCCTACATATATCCAAACTTGAGGATCTGTAGGGGGAAAAAGGCAGGCAGGGGTAGAGTCATAGACAATGGATCCAGGTAAAACCTTATTTTTATGGCAATTCCTTGGCAAGTGTGGTGAATGGAAGGGAGGACTTCTGACTCATCTAAATTAGTCTAAAGCTACATTTTCCTCCAGTTCAATAGAATGAAACATATTCTTTGCTTAAGAACAAGACAACTTCATTCACCGTTTCTGGAGTACATCACCACAGCAGAACACAGACCTTGATAAAGTAACTTCATTTAAAGAGACAGTTCTCTACACATACAATCACTACTAGAAAGTAAAACAAAGCGATGGGCATTGGTGGCGCACGCCTTTAATCCCAGCACTCGGGAGTTCGAGACCAGCCTGGTCTAAAAGAGCTAGTTCCAGGACAGCCT